AGAACTGCCAACTGCCCCATACACACGGTGCTGCCAGAGCTGAGCCCATGTCTTGGGCTCACAAATGGCCCCAGCCGCAATCCCAGGCCATGAGCCCCCCCATTGGCAATGGGCTTTGTGCCCTGAATGCTCCCAGTGCTACAGGATGCTGAGCAGGAGCAGTGCCTGTATAAATAGAGATTCCCACGCCTGAGCTCTTTGTTGGGCAACCACAGGCAATGAGCAAAAGCAAACTCCACCCATGGAATCATGAAAAAATAGGAAGCTCCCACTCCTCCAAAACACTCAACTGCAATCATGGACTTTGCTTCTGCATTGATCCCGGGGGAAGCTTCCACACCCCAAAGATTCAATCAGCTCCCAATGGGAGATTTTATGGGCTTTTTCCTGCTGGGAAGGGTCCCACTGACCCCTGGTCCCATTGTTGGTGGAGGGGCTGTCACCACTATCAGTGTGCGGAAAAGTCTGCTTTGCCCTACTGAGCAGTCTGCAGACTGAAATAAACCACCAAATTTCCTTCCTGTCACTCAAGTCTGCAGCCCTATGCTGGGCTCGTTTTTTTTTCCTTCTTCTTCTTAATGAAAACGCCCTTGAAACCCAGGGTCTGCTACTGAAAGAGCAGCACTACTGTACACTGAGCCCTGCTCTGGAAGAGCACAGTGTAGCGTCGCCCTGGCAATGAATGGTGGCTTTGCACACAGCCACTGTCATTTCTTTGGACTTTTTTCCAGGAATCTGAACCCAACTGAGAAAAGTCGAGCTTCCTGGGAGCTTTGCAGACTCCAGCAGGACTTGAAGGCATGGCCACGCCATGGGGCTCTGCTGAAGGCTGCAACATCTGCACTGGGTTCTATATCCAGATATCCTGTGGGACCTGTGAAGGTGATGCTCCAACACACCCCAAAGCACTGCAATGAGTTCCTGCCAGGCTGGGCAAATGCAAGGTCCTTGTTTCAGCTCAGGGCTTTGGTTAAGCACTGAAAGCAGCTCAGCTGCAGGAGCAGAAAGAGACCTGGAGATACAGGAACAGGAGGTGCAGAGGTGGGGTGGAGAAGGAGGAGACCCTCTGGTCTGGGGGATGAAATTCTCATCCACAGAGGGAACAAAAACCCCATTACTGGGGTCAGGGGAGTCCCAGTCTCACACCCCACACTCACCCCACACTGGTGTCGATCCAGGTGCCAATCACCAGGTGCCCACAGCACTTCACCATACAACCCCACTGCACTCCTGGCAACCCCACAGCAGCTCCCATGGCAGCGGGATGAATATTTGATGCAGAAATGCAAACACACTTCAATAATGCATGGGGCAATGTGGAGCAAGTGTGCAGAAAGGAGGGCTTGAGCTCGGAGCGCCTCCACCTCCCAGCTATGTTCCTGCCCACCCCACCACACTTCCATTCCCTCCAACACAGTCCTGAGGGCAGCACCACTGTCTCCTATTAGGGCCAATGCTAAAAGTCAACATTTCAGGGTTGCCATCTCCTTGGTTCTCTATGCTGTGTGTGCTACACCCCCCCACTGCCACTCAGGGAGATGCATGCATTGTGCCGCATTGCTGCTCTGCTCCCCAGTGCCGCCCCTATCACTTTCCTCTGCCAACCACCAAGTGCCCAACCAACATTAATTAATTAAACCTCACTGCTGTGCCAGATCACAGGAGAAGGGCCAGAGCTGCTGGGGTGTAACCAGAGCCTGACCCCACAGTGCTCAGCCCTCCCAGCCACATGCTGGGTGACATAGAAGGAAGCCAGTACCTTCGGTTGTCACTGCTCTGTGTGTGTGTTGTCATGGGTGCACACAGCCCTGCAGGAACATGCGTGCAGAGCAGAATGAGGCCAGAGGGGAAGCACCCTGCAGCACAGGGGAAACCTTATGACCCAACAGAGTGAACAGGAGCACAGTGAGGGCAGGGGACAAAGAACACTGTGGGGACGAACCCTGAGCCCTACGCAGTGCCTCACTTGGTTGCTGTGTGGCCCTGCTCTGCTGTTCTGGGACTCATTGTTGAATTCTGGGCCATGACTCCCTTTCCCTCGGCCGTGCAGCAGCAACACAGCAGTGCTCAGAGCTGCTCCAGTACTGCTCACAGCCCCATGCCATCCTGCTGGTGGCTGTGCTGGGGTCAGGAGCACAAGCCCAGATCTTCAGCAGAAGCAAAAAAAGGGGAAGAGTCTACCCAAGATGGCAAAATGCCTTTGGGGGTTTTTGAGCTTTTATAACCTGAAATCCCTGCAGGAAAAAGTGTCTTGCCCATTCCTGCAGCACAGCAGAGTGGTGCACACAGGGCACAATCACCTTGGTGACAAGGGGCCAAAGGCAGCACAGAAGGCCTGAGAGAAGGGGAGAGCCAGACCACAGGAAGAGTCATTGCAGCACCCTGCATGCACCCATCACTGTTCATCCTGGTGCCCCCTGCCACCCAATGGGACAGAAGCCAAGAACATTGCAACAAGCTCCTTTGCAACGAGCCCAGCATCCCCGAGCAGCCTGCAGGGCTGGGAAACACCTGACTTGGTCCCAGATCTGAATGGGCACCTGGGAACTTCAGTGTGCCCAGCAGCTCCAACATGGCCACGCATGGAGCTGGGTGAGGAGCTCCCACTACCAGCCCCAGTCTCAGGCATGGGAAGGAAGAGGGCTCCCACAGTGCTCCCTTCCCTGGGGACATGGCCATGGACGCTGCGTGGGAACAGCTGCTGGCACCTGGAGGGGGCCCCTGGGGAAAGCACCTCTATGCCATGCTTGGAGATCTGGTGGTGTCATCATACCCAGGGGCTCAGCAGCTGCAACACGAGGAGGAGGAAGGGAGCATTTTGGAGCATCCATCTCGCCTTCTATTTCCTCCTTCCCTTATCAGGCAGACAACGACCACTCTCTCTTGTGAGAGAGAAACTTCCTTTCTCCCTCACCAGGAGGAGACAGAGGCTCAGGAGAGCGATGGGGAAGTGCAAAACAGAGGGGGAAGCAGCAGTGCCGAGGCTGCACAGCACAGTGCACACTTCCTGCCCCTGTAAGGCTGCAGCAAGGGCAAAGCTAAGCAAAGTTTTGCAGATAGACTTTATCCTGATGGAGACAGTCCTGTAATGGGACCACTGCTGCAGCCTTCCTCCAGCGATGGAGGGTCTTCGGGTCACAACACAATGTTTGCAGCACCCTAAAAACTTCTTGGTGTGCTCTGCAGCAGTCAGGACAGTTTCATGTCACACCGGGCGGAATCCTCCCAGCCTCAGGGGTCCATCTGTGGTGCTGGGGGGGAGGGGGGAGGGCTCTAGGCCCCTGGGAGCTGTGGTGCCCCGCAAGTCCCCCACACGTGCAGGTTGGGGCTGCCATGGAGTGAGAGCCATGTTGGGCACCATGGCCCTGTTTGTGCACGGAACAGCATATCACATCCTTCCCGGAGCTGCTTCTCCGCTTCCCTTTTCAGACCCTGGTTCAGCTCCCCCAAGCTGCACAAACCCAAACACCCCCCACTATGCAGGAAGATGGAGACCAAAGTATGCTTCTTCAACCGCTGCAGTGAACCCCTCTTCTCTTTGCCGCTGTCCCATATTTTATCCAGAGGGAAAGCCGAGGCAGAGCCCCACACAAGACCCAGCTGCCCCATCAACACGTCCCACAAAACTGTGCCTCACCGTGGCCCTCAGACCCACACTCGTGCCCTGGGACACCTCCGGGACCCCCTTCTTCCCGCACTATGCAGCACATAGCCCCGGGGCAGCCCGGAGCCGCTCAGTTCTCTCGGCGCATAGTTCCATCCCCCTCCCACGCCCCCCCTCCCCGGCTTTTCAGAGCCACCCGGACAGGGGAAGCTGCCTCCGTTGCCGCCGCCGGTGAACCCCAGAACCTCCCAGCGATCCCCAGTGCACAGAGCCGCGGTTCGGGTAGAATCTCGGGCATGCAGCCCCCCGCGAAACGATAACAGGGACAGCGAGCCCCGCGCCTACAGCCCTTACCTGCACCAGAGCCACAGGGGCTCCTCCTGTGGGACGGGGTGTTTATTTTCCCGGGGCCTCTTCGTGCTCGGTCACAGCTGTACCGGTACCCCGTACGCCGCCGTGCCCGGTGTCCCCGGGCTGCTCCGGACCAAGCGGGGCCGAGCGCGGATGCAGCGGGGGCGGTGCCCATCGGCGGTGCTGGCCAATGGTGACGCGGGGCTTGCTACGAAGCTGCCAATAGGAGGGGGGACAGGGGAGTACCGAGGGGGCGGACTTCCCTCTCGCCCCGGGGTCATCGGCACCGGTGCTGGCCCCAGGTCCGGGACGGGTGACCCTTCCCTGGTGCGCTGTGGGACTGACCCGCCCCGGCTGGAGCCCGGCAGTCGGGTACCCGAGGGCAGCTCCAGCCACTGTTGTCGTTCCGGTGCTGCTGAGCTCCTGTCCGGGAAAAGCCGTTCCCGGACGGCGGGGAAATCCCACACGCAGTGGCCGTGCTCCGACCAAGTCGGGTTGGGGAGGGGTCCTCTGCCGGCGCTCAGCGTGGTACCGCCCGCTCTGAGGGGCCCTGGAGGGCTCTAAGGGGCACTGTTGGGTACCTGGGGGCTCTGAGAGGCACTCGGTGACTCTGGGAGGATACTGGGGAGCAATAGGAAGCTCTGAATTGCACTGGGGGGGCTGTCATGGGCTCTGAGGGGCATGGGGGCACTGGGGGACTTTGGGGTGTATTGTGGGCTCTGAGGGGACACTGGGGTGCCTTGGGGGGCTCTTAGGGGTACTGGTGGGCATTGGGGGACACTGGAGAGCACTTGGGGGGTTCTGAGGGGCACTGGGGGTCCCTGGGGAGCTCTGATGTGCACTGGTGGACTCTGAGAAGCACTGGGGGGTTCTGAGAGGCTCTGAAAGAAGTGGGGGGACTTGGGGAGAACTGGAGAGAACTGGGAGGCTCTGGGGGGCACTGCATTGCTCTGAGGGGCACTGGGGGGCTCATTGGGGCACCGTGGAACACTGGAGGCACTGAGGGGCTCTAGGGGGTGCTGGGGGGCACTGAGATGTTCTGAGGGGCCTTGGGGACTCCAAGGGGCCACTTTACTCCCCAAAATAGGACAGTTTCTCCCCAAAATATAAAATTTATCGTGGTCCGCGGTCTCTGCTGCCACCGTGTGGCAAATGTGCGGAACTGCACGCATGGTGGTGTGCCGAAAACACCGCATGCGTAATGCTGTGAAGAGAAAAGCGCATGCGTACAGGTGTGCCAAGAAAGGCGCATGCGTAGCGTTGTGTCGATGCAAATGCATGCGTAGGGCTGTGTTCCGACTGGCGGCCGGTGTGGAGGCGTGCCAGGAATGGTGCACGCTGTGTCGGACTTGGCACGTGCGTAGTGTTTGCCGGATCTGATGGATGCGTACTGCTTTGTCAACAACAGTACTTGCTTTGTATTTTGGGTGCGGGCTTTTGTGCTGTTTTGGGGCAGTCTGGGGGTCCACGCAGCTTACATCGAGGCACGGTGCAATGAGTCATACTGCTCAGGGTCTGAATTTGGGGCGTTTGGGCTTTTTGTTGTCATAGCAGGGATCCATCTGGGCCCTAGATTTGGAGACAGGTTTGGGGCCAGGTGATGAGGATGGTCAAGCATGACCTACCTTTCATGAACCCGTGCTGACTAGGCCTGATCTCCTGGACACTGCGCACATGCCGTGCAATCTCATCCAAGATGATGTGCTCCATAACCTTCCCTGGTACCAAGGTCAGGCTAACAGGCATATAGTTCCCCGGATCCTCCTTACGGCCCTTCTTGAAGATGGGAGTCACATCAGCAAGCCTCCAATCCTCTGGGACATCACCAGTTAACCAGGAGCACTGATAGATCGCCGAGAGGGGCTCAGCAATCACCCCCGCCAGCTCCCTCAGCACCTGATGGTGCAGCCCATCCAGTCCCATGGACTTGTGACAGTCCAGACGGAGGAGAAGCTCTCTGACTATCTCCACCAGAATCGCTGGGGACATATTCTGAACAGCGTCCCAAACTTCCAGATCGGGGCATAAAAAACCCAGAGGATAACTAGCCTGGCTATTAAAGGCAGATGTAAAGAAGGCATTGAGGCCCTCAGCCCTCTCCTTGTCCTCAGTGACCACATTCCCTGCTGCATCAAGTATAGGATGATAATTATCTTTGGTTCTTCTTCTGCCGTTGATATATTTATAAAAGGATTTTCTTATTGTCTTTTACTGCAGAGGCCAATCTGAGTTCAAGTTGGGCTTTCGCCTTCTTAACTTCCTCCCTGCATACCTTAACTACTTCTTTATAATCTCCCCAAGTAGCCTGCCCCTTCTTCCAGAGGATGTAGGCTCTCTTTTTCTCCTTGAGTCTCAACAGTAATTCCCAGCTCATCCACACCAGTCATCTACTCCTACGGCATTCAGAGACAGCCTGTTCCTGTGCCTTTAAGATTTCTGTCTTGAGGAGCGTCCAGGCTTCCTGGGCCCTTTTTACCCTTGAGAAGCGACTCCCAAAGGACCCGTGCTACAAGCACACTGAACAGATCAAAGTCTGCCCTCTAGAAGTTCAAGAAGATGGTTTTGCTGGTCACTCATTCGACATCCTCAAGAATGGATAATTCTACAGTTCCGTGGTCACTCTGCCCAAGATGGTCTTTAATCTTCACTTCTCCCACCAGTATTTCTCTGTTAGCAAAGACCAGGTCCAGCAGGGCACCGCCTACCAGTTGCGTAAGGAAGCTATCTTCCACAAGTCTATAAACCTCCTGGACTGCTTCCTCGGTGCTATATTACATTTCCAACATATATCGTCAACATACATCATTCCTTGATGTTTAACCTCATTGATACACACCAACATCACCTCACAGCGTCACCCCACCACATCACTGCAGTATCATCCCAATCTCACCACAGTATCAACCCTGAGCATCACTCCAGCATTACTCCTTGATGTGTATCACCTCAGTGATACCCCCGGCATCACCCATCATCTCAATAACGTCACCCCAGCAACAGCCCCCGCTGTCAATCCCAGTGATACTCCAGCACTACATCCCAACGTAACAGTACATAGAGGCAAGTACCAGGTTCACCCACTGAGGACACGCATATAATCAAAGAATATTAGGATGTTATAATCACAAAATAAAAAAGAGAGATAGACAAAGTAAACTATTATAACAAAAGAGAATAATTGGAAGGCTTACCCTTATGCTGAGTCCACCTGCAAATCACCAGTAGGGGCAATCTCCAGAACAAACCCTTCCCTACTCGTAGCCAGCTCTTAAATAGGTCTAGGAGAGGTGCAGCCTGGCTCCACCCCTTCCGGCAACACAGGTGAATTGAATTGCCTTCACCTGTGCTCCTCTGGCTGACTCACGGCTCGCCTCAGGTGATCAATCAGAGGTTCAGGCCATGACTCAGCAGTTCCCATACAACACCAAATCCTGAAATATTTTCACGATGGTCTTTAATTGCAAAGTGAGCAGGTGACACACATTTCTCACTGGGAAGCCATAAGCTGACCCTGGCAGTTTGGTCAACAGCACTTGCTCCATTCACACCGGTAATCTCAACCCTTTGCTGTCCAGGCTGCACACACAGCTTCTCTACATCTTACTGTGTTTTGAAATCTGTGCTCCCCTACCTATTAGAAACATCACCAATTGTCTCTGAGGACAGATTGGGATCAAAATACGTGGGCTGTCATAGCTCATCCACTGATAAACCTCCCATTGCTAGACAGGCAGACCCAATTACCAAAAAAGTCATTACTTTTTATTTATTTATTTTTCTTTCTTCATACCTTTATGGGAACTGTGAGGTCACAGCCTGAAGCAGTGATTAAGCACCTGTTGAGGGGTGTAGCCCTGCGAGCACAGGTGGAAGCAATTCTCCTATGGGACCAGATAGGGCTGAGCCTGGCTCCACCCCTCCCTGATCGTATTTAAGGGCTGGCAGCCACAGAGGCAGCATCTCTTCGTGGAGACTGCCTTCTTGGGAGCCTTGGGTGAGCCCTTGGAGTGTGGTGAGTGATTCCTTCTGTGTTTCAAGGCTGTGGGCTTCTCTTTTTGTTAGATCCTGCCCATATAGCCGTCAGCCCTTCAATGTGGTCAGGATCTGTATCTGGAGGTTGTCTACTTTGGTGTGTGGGATGTGTTTCCTTCTCTACTGTAGGGCCATTATCTCCCCTTTTTGGGGTATTCTGATCACTTTTAAGGGTTGGCAGCTGTAAGGGTAGTAGCTCTACCTGGGGACTGCTTCCTCTGGAGTGTGGGGTGAGCCCTTGGAGTGGGATGAGTGGTTCCTTTTTTATTTCAGGGCTGTGATCCCTCCTTTCTTGGGGGATCCTGACAGCATTTAAAGGTTTGTAGCTGTAAGGATGTTTTCTCTTCCTGGAGGCTGCCTCTTTGGGTATGTGGGGTGAATATTTCCTTTGTTATTTTGAGGTTGTGAGCTCTGTGTTTTTTGGGGGATCCTGACCATGTTTAAGGGCTGGTAGCTGTAAGGGCAGGGTCTCTGTCTAGAGATTGCTTCCTTTAGAGTGTGGGGTGAGTGTTTATCTTTGGAATGGGGCAATTGATTTCCTCTCTGTTGTAGGGTTATGAACTCCCCATTTTTTAGAGGATCCTGACCACGTTTAAGAGCTGGCAGCTGTAAGGGCATCATCTGTGCTTGGAGACTGCTTCCTTTGGGATGTGGAGCAAGCACTTGGAGTGGGGTGAGCAATTCCTTCTTTATTGCGGGGCTGTGAACTCCACCTTCTCAGGGGATTCTGAAATGGCATAAAGCAGCTGTATCTGCTGTGCGTGTCCTTACAATGCCCTTCAGTTCTTATCTAAGGGAGAGAAAGAGTTTCTTTCCCTTTCTGAGTTGCTGATGGAGGGATTGGTATACACTTCTTTCTTTCAATGCTTTCTCATTTCTGGAATGCTTCAATCATCCCCAATAATGCTGGTTGGCTGACAGAGCACTTCCATAAAGGGGTTCTGCATTTTGTAGATTGCGTTTGCAAGTCTCTTTAAGCCCACTACCTTCTGGTGGAGCCTGTTCCCTCGTCATGATTTTCACCACATAATCTCCAACCTGGGGCTCCAGACATAGTTTGTTTGCTGCCACATCATCCCAGCCTGTTTCATGGCTGTAGCGAACAGTGCCATGTATTAATTCCACCTATGCAGAGTTGTTTAAGGGTGTTCTGTACATAATTATCATGTATTAAATTATGCTTTGTGTTTCTTCTGATCTTATTTTGTAGCTCGATGGGGTTTAAGGATTGCCAGGGCTCCTCTAATCAGTGGTGTGAGAACTGCAGAGCAGGTAATGGAACATCCCAAGCCCCGTGTTGGCGCATCGCTTGTATACAGGCAGGTTTGTGATGACTGTGGGGAGACTCACTTGGGGATGGAATAGGCTTAAAATGGACTCGCTCCACTGGTTCTGTGCTCCCATCCCTGTAAGCTCCATGGCTGCTCATAGAGTGAGGTGCATCATCTGGGACCTGAACCCCAGTGGCCATTTGCTTCATCCTCGCTCAGTATAATACAGTCTGCACTGCTCGAGCATACTGACCACAGGTGTTCCGTTCCTGTCTTACGGTTCTCTCCAATATCTCCCTTATGGATTTGTCAGTGATAATGGATCCCAGGGCATCGTTGTCAGAGCACCTTGTGGCTGACCACCCCAGGGTCCTACAGCTCTTTCTGTTTTAATGGCAGATCTGGCTTTGTGTTAATAAGAAAGAAAGGATTGTCCTCTTCTGGATGACTACAGTCAGGGTTTCCCCAGATATCTCATCCCATTTGTCAGGGATGCTATTAATTTCCCAAACTCCCACCCCTCTTCCTCCCATTCCCTGACCCACATTAAGCAGCTCTGCAGCTCTGGGACCCAGCGGTGTGGCAAAATGTGGCCCCTGGTCTGCTGAATGCTGGATCTGGCACAGAGAGGCTCTGTGACTGATGTGGAGCATCCCGACTGGAGTACTTGGTGCCATTTATGGTGATCTGGTGTGACTCCCCCACAACAAACAAGGACATCCACAACTGGATCAGGTTGCTCAGAGCCTGACCTAGCCTCGCCTTGGAAGGGACAGGGTGACAATCATGTGTCTGGGTAACCTGTTCCACTGTGTCACCACCCTCACTGCACAAGATTTTCTTTATATCTAAGCTAAATTTTTTTCTTGTTCTTTCCTTTAGGTATTGAAAGGCTGTTCCCAGATCACCTCGGAACCTTCACTTCTCCAGGCTGAACAGCTCCAGCTCTCTCTCTCTTTATAGGAAAGGCGTTCCATCCCTCGGTTCATATCTGTGGCCATTCTCTGGACGTGCTCTAACAGCTCCACGTCTGTCCTGCACTGCAGGCATCCACATCCACACACAGCACCTCCAGGTGAGGCCTCCCAGCACAGAGCAGAGGGGCAGGACCACCTCCCTTCGCCTGCTGACCGCACATCTTTGGATGGAGCCCAGCATACGGTTGGCTTTCTGGGCTGGAAGGCGCGTTGCTGAGTGCCACTACTCAGCCTGTTGAGGTCCCTCTGGATGGCATCCCGTCCCTCTGGCATGTCACTGCACCCCACAGCTCGGTGTCATTAGGGTGCACTCCACCCTACTGTCAATGTCACTGATGAAGGGGCAATCCCAGATGTTTGTGCAAACTCAGCAAAGAACACCTTGAGAGCAGCCCCACAGAGAAGGATTTGCGGATCCCGGTGGATGAGAAGCTGGACGTCAGCCAGCAGAGCGGGCTTGCAGCCTGGAAGGCCAGCTGTGTTCTGGGCTGCATTAAAAGAGGAGCGGCCAGCAGGGAGAGTGAGGTGATCGTCCCCATCTGCTCTGCTCTTGTGAGGCCCCATCTGCAGCGCTGCATCCAGGCCTGGGGCCCCCAGCACAGGAAGGACGTGGAGCTCACGGAGCGGGTCCAGAGAAAGGCACTGAGATGATCAGATGGTTGGAGCAGCTCTCCTACAAGGAAAGGTTGAGGGAAGTGGGCTTGTTCAGCCTGGAGAAGAGAAGGCTTGGGGGGGACCTCATTGCAGCCTCACAGTACTTGAAGGGAATGTATAAGCAGGAAGGGGAATGGCTGTTTACAAGGGTGGATCGTGATAGGACAAGGGGAATGGTTTTAATGTGAGACAGGGGAGGTTTAGGTTGGTTATTAGGAGGAAGCTTTTCACACAGAGGGTGGTGACGCACTGGAACGTGCTTCAGAGTCCCTTCCAGGAGGATCTGCTCCATGACTTTTTGCAGCACAGAGGTGAGACTGACATGTTGGCAGTTCCCAGGGTCACACTTTATATCTGCAGTAACAGCTGTGCTGTCACCTTTTTTCTGCTCACCAGGGACTTCACCTGACTGCCTCGACTTCTCAAATACCACTGAGAGTGGCTCGGTGACTGCAGCACTGAATTCCCTCAGAGCTCTGGGACTCGTCTCATCAGGACCCAAAGACTCCTGGATGCTCGGGTCCTCAGGTGCTCCAGAACCTGATCTCCCATCACAGTGTAGGATAGGGAGGGGTCTGTGGGACCGGCATTGCTTCCTCAATCCCCACCTACCAAACCAAAGGTGAGGGCTGTGTATAATGAGCAGTTATCAGAGAAGATGGAAGATGGATGTTGTTGGGTACCTCAGCCTTCTCCTTGTCTGTTGTTCCCAGCTCAGTGCTTGCCGGTAAGCAGAATCGTGCGCAGAGCGCAGCCACGTTGATCAGAGAAAGGAGTGCAGGTTTGTGAAAGAGGCACATCTGCAGGGCAGTGCCTTCATTACTGCTTTGTGTCCCACAGGTGGCAGCAGGCTGCGGCGCTCCTGAGTGCCATAAGGACTGCATGGAGATGCGTGGCTCTTATGGGAGCAGCAAGGAACCGGAATCTGCATTTCCTGGAATGCCTGGAACCCTGCTTTGCTGGCTGGTAATTGTCTGCCCAGCAGGTAAGGGCAATGCACACCCACCAGTGTTTACCCATTCCCTAGCATGGCACAGCACGGTGCTCCCACAGCTCTTCATTGCACTTCGTGGTGCCCTGGATGCTGCCTGTCCTTTTCTTTCTGTGTTCTCCTTGTCTCCGGCCTTTCACTGCAGCGTTTTCATTCCCTTTGCCCTTGCTGTTCCCTACTCCATTCTCTTGCCCTTCTGTTTTTGTGTTCCATGCCACGTTCTCTTGGCCGCTGCCCTTGCCTTTCTTTGCCGCATTCACTTCAGCATTCAGTTTTGGCGTTCCGTGCCGCGTTCTCTCGCCCTCCTGTTCTGGCATTTCCTTCCATGTTCTCTTAGCCGTTGCCATTGGTTGGGCATCCTCTTGTCCTCCTGTTTTTGTGTTCCATGCTGGTTTCTCTTGGCTGTTGCCCTTGGCTTTCTTTGCCATATTCACTTCAGCATTCAGTTTTGGCGTTCCCTGCTGCGTTCTCCTGCCCTCCTGTTTTGGCGTTTCTTGCCGTGTTCTCTTGGCCATCATCCTTGGCATTTCCTTCCACGTTCTCTTGGCCCTTGCCCTTGTCTGGGCATTCCCTTGCCCCCCTGTTATTGTGTCCCATGCTATGTTCTCTTGGCCATTGCCCTTGGCTTTCTGTAGCCACATTCTCTTCACCATTTGATTTTGGCGTTCCCGGCAGCGTTCTCTTGCCCTCCTGTTCTGGCACTTCCTGCCATGTTTTCTTAGCCCTTGCCTGGGCATTCCATGCCGTGCTCCCTCGGCCTTCTGTTTTGGCATTTTGTGCTGCGTTCTTTTGGCCGTTGCCCTTGGCCTTTCCTGCTGCGGTCTCTTTGCCCTCCCCTTGGCTTTCCATCGGTGCTCTCTTTGCTTTTGCCCTTGCCTTAGCTTGGCTGTTTGCTTTGCATTTACCTTGGCTTTCCACGGGAGTTCTGCTTTCCTTTGCCTGCCCTGGGTGTCCTGCTTCCCTTTGCCTTTAGCACTCTAGCGTGAGCTGGGAGGCAGCATTAATGTTACCCTCGACCTAAACCCACAGCTGAATGGGAGTTCTAACGATAACTTTGTTAACCTGCAGCGTATCTGTAGACCAAACCCTTAACCCAGTGTTGAAAATGTCTCTTACCCTGAATGCTGCCGTAAAAATAATGCCCCATGTTTTGTCAAATAACCCTAATTGTAGTGCAGAATACTGATGTTAGACCATCTGTAACTTCAACCCTATCAATACCATTAATTCTATCCCTAACGTTAATTATAATTAATTACAACCCTTGTGTCATCATTACAGCATTGTGCTCAGGGTGCAGCCCCACACATGCGGGGCAGCGCCTTCATTACTGCGTTGTGTCCCACAGGTGGCAGCAGAGTTGCATTGCTCCTGAGCGCTGTAAGGACAGCACGGAGATGCGCGGCTCTTCAGGCAGCAGCAAGGAACCGGAATCTGCATTTCCTGGGATGCCCGGAACCCCGCTTTGCTGGCCGGTAATTGTCTGCCCAGCAGGTAAGGGCGATGCTCACCCACCGGTGTTTACTCATTACTTAGCGAGGCACAAGGTAGGGTTCACAGAGCTCATTTCTGCACTTCACGGTGCCCTGGATGCTGCCTGTCCTTTTCTTTCTGTGTTCTCCTCGCCTCCAGCCTTTCACTGCAGCGTTCTCCTTGCCCTTGGCTTTCCCTGCTGCGTTCTCTTGCCCTCCTGTTTTGGCGTTCCCTGTGGCATTCTCTTGGCTGTTTGCCCTTGGCCACCTTCACTGTGTTTTCTTTGGCCTTCGGCTTTGGCCATCTGTGCCACATTCCCTTGGCCTTTGTCCTTGGCCTTCTTTGCCACGTTCACTTTGCCTCCCGTTCTGGCGTTCCCTACAGCATTATTTTGGCCTTCAGTTCTGGCGTTCCTGGCTGCGTTCTCTTTGGCCGTTGCCCTCGGCCTTCTTTGCCCCATTTCCTTTGGCCTCCTGTTCTGGCGTTCCCTGCGGCGTTCTCTTTGGCTTCTATTTTGGCGTTCCCTTCCATGTTCTTTTTGGCCATTGCTCCTGGCCTTCTTTGCCCATTCCCTTTGGCCTCTTGTTTTGTCTTCTCCTACAGCATTCTCTTTGCCTTTGGTTTTGGCCTTTTGTGCCACATTGTCTTTGGCCATTGCCCTTGACCTTCTGCATCGGCCTTCCCTGCAGCGTTCTCACAGACCTCGCCCTCCATTTTGGCCTTCTGCGTCGATCTCTTTGGTCTCCATTCTGGCGTTCTCTGCGGCCTTCTTCTTGGGCCTGACCTCTGACGCGACCTTTGGCGTTCTCCATGTCTTTCCCATCCCTTTGCCCTCTGTTTTGGCGTTCCCTCAGCTGTTCTCCTTGCCTTTTGCTCCTGCCTTTGCCTTGGCCTTCCCTAACGGTCACTCTAACCCTAATCCTGATGTACCTAACCCTAACACCTTTCCTGTTAAATACTCCTAACCTTACTCTGAAGCCTTTTCTTAGAGCGGTGTTTGGCTTCCACATTTTGTGGGGGTGGGCTGACGGTGAGCACCGTTTGGGTCTCGGCGTTCCTCCTTCTAAAGCGTGTCTCTGTATTACAGGTGAAGATGCCTTCGACGCTTCCAGTCGATGACTTCCCCCCTGCGACGCCATCGGCTTTCCAGGCCTCCCACACTCACTGCCAGCTCGGTTCGGTCAACCGTTACCCGAATCCCCGCTCCGTTCCCTTTCCATGATCTTCCCGTCACTCTGCCACAAGCCCCTACCAAGGTCATCGCAGGCAGCGTGCGGGATGCGGCGCTCGGTCTCATTGCAGTTCATCCCATCGGCCTCAGCCCAGCGATCCAACCCACCCGCACCCTTCCTGAGGGCCCTTCTGCTCCCAGGCCAATCAACGCTTCCTTCTGATGCCATCTGCGTTCCTTCCAGGCCATTTTCAGACTCCTGCCCCTTTGTGGCCATTTTGAGAGTTGTGCTGATTTCAGCATGTGCATTCAATTGACTTCAACCAAATTGGCTTTAGCTTGACATTCAATTAATGTAAACCAAATTGGCTTTAGCTTTACATTCGATTGACTTCAACCAAATTGGCTTTAGTTTTACATTCAATTAATGTAAGCCATATTGGCTTTAGCTTTGCCTTGGTTACGGGGTTGGGTTAGCCTTGCTTTGTTTGTTCCTAGGCAGGGCTACCCCAACCCCGTAACCAAGGGCCATTGGAGGCGATTTTGTTCCTTCCTGGCCAGTCTGAGACTCGCGCCCCATTGCGGCCATTTTGAGAGTTGTGCTGATTTCAGCATCTGCGTTCAATTTATCTCAACCAAATTGGCTTTAGCCTTGCAATCATTTTGCATCAACCAAATTGGCTTTAGCTTTGCATTCAATTGACTTCAACCAAATTGGCTTTAGCCTTGCATTCAATTGACTTCAACCAAATTGGCTTTAGCTTTACATTCGATTGACTTCATCCAAATTGGCTTTAGCTTTACATTCAATTAATGTAAGCCAAATTGGCTTTAGCTTTGCCTTGGTTACGGGGTTGGGCTAGCCTTGCTTTGTTTGTTCCTAGGCAGGGCTACCCCAACCCCGTAACCAAGGGCCGTCGGAGGCGATTTTGTTCCTTCCCGGCCAGTCTGAGACTCGCGCCCCATTGCGGCCATTTTGAGAGTTGTGCTGATTTCAGCATCTGCGTTCAATTTATCTCAACCAAATTGGCTTTAGCCTTGCAATCATTTTGCATCAACCAAATTGGCTTTAGCTTTACATGCAATTGACTTCAATCAAATTGGCTTTGGCTTTGCATTCAATTGACTTCAACCAAATTGACTTTAGCTTTGCATTCAATTGACTTCAACCAAATTGGCTTTAGCCTTGCATTCAATTGGCTTCAACCAAATTGGCTTTAGCTTTACATTCGATTGACTTCATCCAAATTGGCTTTAGCTTTACATTCAATTAATGTAAGCCAAATTGGCTTTAGCTTTGCCTTGGTTACGGGGTTGGGCTAGCCTTGCTTTGTTTGTTCCTAGGCAGGGCTACCCCAACCCCGTAACCAAGGGCCGTTGGAGGCGATTTTGTTCCTCCCGGCCAGTCTGAGACTCGCGCCCCATTGCGGCCATTTTGAGAGTTGCTCTGATTTCAGCATCTGCGTTCAATTTATCTCAACCAAATTGGCTTTAGCCTTGCAATCATTTTGCATCAACCAAATTGGCTTTGGCCTTGCATTCAATTGACTTCAACCAAATTGGCTTTAGCCTTGCATTCAATTGGCTTCAACCAAATGGCTTTAGCTTTACATTCAATTAATGTAAACCAAATTGGCTTTAGCTTTGCCTTGGTTACGGGGTTGGGCTAGCCTTGCTTTGTTTGCTCCTAGGCAGGGCTAACCCAACCCCGTAACCAAGGGCCGTCGGAGGCGATTTTGTTCCTTCCCGGCCAGTCTGAGACTCGCGCCCCATTGCGGCTATTTTGAGAGTTGCTCTGATTTCAGCATGTGCGTTCAATTTATCTCAACCGAATTGGCTTTAGCATGTGCATTCAATTGGCTTCAACCAAATTGGCTTTAGCTTTACATTCAATTGACTTGAACCAAATTGGCTTTGGTTTTGCATTCAATTGGCTTCAACCAAATTGGGTTTAGCCTTGCATTCAATTGACTTCATCCAAATTGGCTTTAGCTTCACATTCAATTAATGTAAGCCATATTGGCTTTAGCTTTGCCTTGGTTACGGGGTTGGGCTAGCCTTGCTTTGTTTGTTCCTAGGCAGGGCTACCCCAACCCCGTAACCAAGGGCCGTTGGAGGCGATTTTGTTCCTTCCCGGCCAGTCTGAGACTCGCGCCCCATTGCGGCTATTTTGAGAGTTGCTCTGATTTCAGCATGTGCGTTCAATTTATCTCAACCGAATTGGCTTTAGCATGTGCATTCAATTGGCTTCAACCAAATTGGCTTTAGCTTTACATTCAATTGACTTGAACCAAATTGGCTTTGGTTTTGCATTCAATTGGCTTCAACCAAATTGGGTTTAGCCTTGCATTCAATTGACTTCATCCAAATTGGCTTTAGCTTCACATTCAATTAATGTAAGCCATATTGGCTTTAGCTTTGCCTTGGTTACGGGGTTGGGCTAGCCTTGCTTTGTTTGCTCCTAGGCAGGGCTAACCCAACCCCGTAACCAAGGGCCGTTGGAGGCGATTTTGTTCCTTCCCGGCCAGTCTGAGACTCGCGCCCCTTTGTGGCCGTTCTGAGAATTGCAATGTGTTTGGGTGGGCTGAGATCTGCACTGCTTTTGAGGTGGGTTGCAGTATGCAACATTCTCACAAGTGTGGTGTCACTAATGGGGTGTGGAGGCTTTGTACCCTTTCTCTGGTTGGTCTGACATCTATGTGAACCATGTCTTAAAGTGTACTGCGTATGCGTGTGCTGCGCCTGTAAATTGCGTCGTGCCATGTATGCAATATGTGTTAAGTTGCGCCTGTAAACTGTGTTGTGCCATGTACAGAATGTGTGGATGCTGCGCCTATAAACTAAGTCTTGGAATCAGAGATCCATGTTCATTACATGTTTTGCTTCTCAATGTGTAGTTGCTGGTATAGCGCGTATGTATATGATTGTATGAGTCATGCCTTGTGGAAACAGTGCTGTAATAAACAAACAGTTAAACAATGCATGTATGTTGTGTGTCTTGCTTTGTCACGGCAACGACTGGAAGGACACTGGAAGGTAGGTGACAAAGGTAGGTGTGGAGGGTGGTAGACTTAGATGGGGGTTAGACTTAGACATAGACACTGGGGGTTAGACTTAGACTTAGACACTGGGCATTAGACTTAGACTTAGAAACTGGGGGTTAGACTTAGACACTGGGCGTTAGACTTAGACACTAAGGGTTAGACTTAGACACTGGGGGTTAGGCTTAGACTTAGACACTAAGGGTTAGACTTAGACACTGGGGGTTAGGCTTAGACTTAGACACTGGGGGTTAGGCTTAGACTTAGACACTAAGGGTTAGACTTAGACACTGGGGGTTAGGCTTAGACTTAGACACTAAGGGTTAGACTTAGACACTGGGGGTTAGGCTTAGACTTAGACACTAAGGGTTAGACTTAGACACTGGGGGTTAGGCTTAGACTTAGACACTAAGGGTTAGACTTAGACACTGGGGGTTAGGCTTAGACTTAGACACTAAGGGTTAGACTTAGACACTGGGGGTTAGGCTTAGACTTAGACACTAAGGGTTAGACTTAGACACTGGGGGTTAGGCTTAGACTTAGACACTAAGGGTTAGACTTAGACACTGGGGGTTAGGCTTAGACTTAGACACTAAGGGTTAGACTTAGACACTGGGGGTTAGGCTTAGACTTAGACACTAAGGGTTAGACTTAGACACTGGGGGTTAGGCTTAGACTTAGACACTGGGGGTTAGACTTAGACACTGGGGGTTAGGCTTAGACTTAGACACTAAGGGTTAGACTTAGACACTGGGGGTTAGGCTTAGACTTAGACACTAAGGGTTAGACTTAGACACTGGGGGTTAGGCTTAGACTTAGACACTAAGGGTTAGACTTAGACACTGGGGGTTAGGCTTAGACTTAGACACTGGGGGTTAGGCTTAGACACTGGGGGTTAGGCTTAGACTTAGACACTAAGGGTTAGACTTAGACACTGGGGGTTAGGCTTAGACTTAGACACTGGGGGTTAGACTTAGACTTAGACACTAAGGGTTAGACTTAGACACTGGGGGTTAGGCTTAGACTTAGACACTGGGGGTTAGGCTTAGACACTGGGGGTTAGGCTTAGACTTAGACACTAAGGGTTAGACTTAGACACTGGGGGTTAGGCTTAGACTTAGACACTAAGGGTTAGACTTAGACACTGGGGGTTAGGCTTAGACTTAGACACTAAGGGTTAGACTTAGACACTGGGGGTTAGGCTTAGACTTAGACACTAAGGGTTAGACTTAGACACTGGGGGTTAGGCTTAGACTTAGACACTAAGGGTTAGACTTAGACACTGGGGGTTAGGCTTAGACTTAGACACTAAGGGTTAGACTTAGACACTGGGGGTTAGGCTTAGACTTAGACACTAAGGGTTAGACTTAGACACTGGGGGTTAGGCTTAGACTTAGACACTAAGGGTTAGACTTAGACACTGGGGGTTAGGCTTAGACTTAGACACTAAGGGTTAGACTTAGACACTGGGGGTTAGGCTTAGACTTAGACACTAAGGGTTAGACTTAGACACTGGGGGTTAGGCTTAGACTTAGACACTAAGGGTTAGACTTAGACACTGGGGGTTAGGCTTAGACTTAGACACTAAGGGTTAGACTTAGACACTGGGGGTTAGGCTTAGACTTAGACACTAAGGGTTAGACTTAGACACTGGGGGTTAGGCTTAGACTTAGACACTAAGGGTTAGACTTAGACACTGGGGGTTAGGCTTAGACTTAGACACTAAGGGTTAGACTTAGACACTGGGGGTTAGGCTTAGACTTAGACACTAAGGGTTAGACTTAGACACTGGGGGTTAGGCTTAGACTTAGACACTAAGGGTTAGACTTAGACACTGGGGGTTAGGCTTAGACTTAGACACTAAGGGTTAGACTTAGACACTGGGGGTTAGGCTTAGACTTAGACACTAAGGGTTAGACTTAGACACTGGGGGTTAGGCTTAGACTTAGACACTAAGGGTTAGACTTAGACACTGGGGGGGTTAGGCTTAGACTTAGACACTAAGGGTTAGACTTAGACACTGGGGGTTAGGCTTAGACTTAGACACTAAGGGTTAGACTTAGACACTGGGGGTTAGGCTTAGACTTAGACACTAAGGGTTAGACTTAGACACTGGGGGTTAGGCTTAGACTTAGACACTAAGGGTTAGACTTAGACACTGGGGGGTTAGGCTTAGACTTAGACACTAAGGGTTAGACTTAGACACTGGGGGTTAGGCTTAGACTTAGACACTAAGGGTTAGACTTAGACACTGGGGGTTAGGCTTAGACTTAGACACTAAGGGTTAGACTTAGACACTGGGGGTTAGGCTTAGACTTAGACACTAAGGGTTAGACTTAGACACTGGGGGTTAGGCTTAGACTTAGACACTAAGGGTTAGACTTAGACACTGGGGGTTAGGCTTAGACTTAGACACTAAGGGTTAGACTTAGACACTGGGGGTTAGGCTTAGACTTAGACACTAAGGGTTAGACTTAGACACTGGGGGTTAGGCTTAGACTTAGACACTAAGGGTTAGACTTAGACACTGGGGGTTAGGCTTAGACTTAGACACTAAGGGTTAGACTTAGACACTGGGGGTTAGGCTTAGACTTAGACACTAAGGGTTAGACTTAGACACTGGGGGTTAGGCTTAGACTTAGACACTAAGGGTTAGACTTAGACACTGGGGGTTAGGCTTAGACTTAGACACTAAGGGTTAGACTTAGACACTGGGGGTTAGGCTTAGACTTAGACACTAAGGGTTAGACTTAGACACTGGGGGTTAGGCTTAGACTTAGACACTAAGGGTTAGACTTAGACACTGGGGGTTAGGCTTAGACTTAGACACTAAGGGTTAGACTTAGACACTGGGGTTAGGCTTAGACTTAGACACTAAGGGTTAGACTTAGACACTGGGGGTTAGGCTTAGACTTAGACACTAAGGGTTAGACTTAGACACTGGGGGTTAGGCTTAGACTTAGACACTAAGGGTTAGCCTTTAGCCTTTAGCCTTTAGCCTT